TCGTAGCTTGTTTAGGAATCCTTGGCCGCATATGTGAGGTGGACTAAGTCCAGTCAGATCTAGTTAACGTTTAAGAAAAATCTCCGTCAAACTCTCATTTATTGGTTGGGATGGGATCTTTGGAGAGGATGGAAAGCCTTGAAAGTCCTCCCAGGTCGAGTTCCAAACAAGCTTGTTCTTGATGTCTTTCTTCCTGCCAATGTGGAAGGGGTCATGATGGCCGCGACAAGGTCAGCCAGGGAGCCTTGCTTCTTCCCATTGTGGATGATCTTTTATTACTTGTAGACCTCTACGACATTCGGGTATGAGATGTCTGTGCAAGGAGCCCATTTGCATCATTGGCGGTGTCTACCATAGCGAATATGTAATCAAGGCTATTAACAAACCTTGCAAAACTTTAACAAGGACTTGTGACCCAGTAGTAGTGGTAAATAAGGACGTGTTGGTGCATGCACAACTAGGCAAAAAAGACATTCTTATCCTACAATGGCACGTTTCACGGACGCGACAATGTGATGACGAGCATGGTTGTTTTGATGACGGTGTGATGGCATGGTTCGACGACTACGATGATGCGGTGATGGCGATCCGACTGCTCCAGTGATATTGCGATGGCCTGCTTCAAAGGAGATGATAGTGATGTCAAGGATGCTATATCCAAAGCAACCTCAACTACACGAGCTTTCCGTGGTCTTTATATCGGTTAGCTTAATTCCAGACCCGTGCGCCAATTCTAAAGAATCCATGGTCTTTTCAATAAAATGTGCAATGCTATTTTTAGGGGTGCGTGATATGTCTCCAACGTATCTATAGTTTTTTATTGTTCCATGCTATTATATTATCAATCTTGGATGTTTTATAATTATTTTATAGTTATTTTATATCATTTTTGATACTAACCTATTGACATGGTGCCAAGTGCCAGTTGCTGTTTTTCCATGTTTTTTACATGCAGAAAATCAATATCAAACAAAGTCCAAATGCCACGAAACTTTACGGAGATTTTTTATGGACCAGAAGGAACGTAATGGGTCCTGGCTGCGCCTGGGGGGTGCTCCGAGGAGAGCACAACCCACCAGGGCGCGCCAGGAGGCCCAAGCGCGCCCCGGTGGGTTGTGCCCACCTCAGGTGCCCCCGGACCGCATCTTTGCTCTATGAATACCCCAATATTCCAAAAACCCTAGGGGAGTCAACGAAATATTCATCCAGCCGCCGTAGAGTCCAGAACCACCAGATCCAATCTAGACACCATCTCGGATGGGGTTCACCACCTCCATTGGTGCCTCTCCGATGATGCATGAGTAGTTCTTTGTAGACCTTCGGGTCCTTAGTTAGTAGCTAGATGGCTTCCTCTCTCCCTCTCTCTTGATTCTCAATACAATGGTCTCTTGGAGATCCATATGATGTAACTCTTTTGTGGTGTGTTTGTTGGGATCCGATGAACTTTGAGTTTATGATCAGATCTATCTCTTTTTATATCCATGAAAGTATTTGAGTTTCTTTGATCTCTTTTATGCATGATTGCTTATAGCCTTGTATTCCTTCTCCGATATTTGGGTTTTGTTTGGCCAACTTGATCTATTTATCTTGCAATGGGAAGAGGTGCTTTGTAGTGGGTTCGATCTTAAGGTGCTTGATCCCAGTGACAAAAAGGAAACCGACACGTATGTATCATTGCTACTAAGGATAAAATGATGGGGGTCTATCTCTACATAGATAGATCTTGTCTACATTATGTCATCGTTCTTATTGCATTACTTCATTTCTCCATGAACTTAATACACTAGATGCATGCTGGATAGCGGTCGATGTGTGGAGTAATAGTAGTAGATGCAGGCAGAAGTCGGTCTACTAATCTTGGACGTGGTGCCTATGTAATGATCATTGCTTGGATATTGTCATGAGTATTTGAAATTCTATCAATTACCCAACAGTAATTTGTTCACCCACCGTTTGCTATTTTTTTTCTCGAAAGAAGCCACTAGTGAAACCTACGACCCCCGGGTCTCTTTCTCACATTATTTTCTTTTGCGATCTATTTTCCTTTCCATTTATTTTCAGATCTATTAATCCAAAAACACAAAAAATACTTTGCTGCACTTTATTTTATTTGCGATCTATTTATTCAACCTATTACAATTTTCTCCCGTCCACGCACCAATTTCTGGCACCGTTACCCGAAAGGGATTGACAACCCCTTTAACATGTCGGGTTGCGGGTATTTGTTATTTGTGTGCAGGGGCTGTTTATGTTGTGTTGCTTGGTTTTTCTACTGGTTCGATAATCTTGGTTTCATATCTGTGGGAAATACCTACCGCCGCTGTGCTGCATCATCCCTTCCTCTTTGGGGAAACACCGACGTAGCTTCAAGCAACAACAATGCGCCATCGATCAACTAAAATGTTCAAAGAGTACAATTTGGATCATGAGGTATGGTAAGCCACAAGTGGCGACCCTGAGCAAGCGAGAGAGAGAATTTAGCAAGGATGTGCGCTTCTTGATTAGAAGCTCATCCTTCAACAAAACATCACAACTGGCAAAACTGATTTCTTTCTCACAGTCTCCTTAATGACTATGGCACGTGCTCCTCTACTTCCATATCTGATGTCTTCCACGACTGGCTTACAATCACATGCAATAATGATTCTTTGCAGCAGCAGATCCTCAACAGGACTGATTGCTTCACGACAAGTAACATTGCAAGACCAGACAACCTCGAGAAGGCGATAGAGGATGATCCAAGGAGTTGCCAACAAGATCTCTACACACCGCAACAGCAAGACCAGTGTTATCTTGACAGGAGCCACCCACATCAACATTTACCTTTGCCTAGTCAGAAGGAGGGGCTTCTAAGCAGTGGATTGCATAATTTCTTGAATATTTTGAAGAGGCCCGTCAATTCTTGTTATCTCTTTAATGGATTCCAGTTCAGAAATAAATCTCACAACAACAAAATGTGTCAACAATGGGCTTCTGGAATGTGCCCTCATGGATAGCTTTTCGTCTCGTCGTCCAAAATGCCTAGAGGGTTACTACCAACTTCACGGAATCAACATGAGATAGAATGTCTTGCGTTCTAAAAAGGAAAAGCCAATACTTAGCATTTGTTTCTTGTGTCTTCACTAGCTGTTGATGGGGCGAGGTCGATGGGGAGAGCAGCGTCAACGGGAGAGAAACGAGCGACGGCTACAGGAAGCGCACGATCGGGAGTGGCGGCTAGGGTTCTTGCGAGGGGGAATGGGAGCACAGGGATGCAGCAGCCGATCTCCCTCACCTCATCCAACCAGCGCCCAACACACACATGGGCAAAAGGTGAAAAGATGAGGGCAATGCCAATTACAGCCCGTGGCACGAGATATTTACGCGGGGTGAGGCTGTTTGTTGCTACAGGAGCGCTGCTTCGATCCGATGGCCGACGTCCTCCAGTGGCTCGATCCGACGTCCGAAAACCCATCAAGCAAAAGGACCCGACGGCCACCCCTCCCTGATCGCTGTGGAGCCAGGGAATCTTCCATGGTTCTTGTTTCTCGATGTCCGCAGACTGGTCCCTCTATCCGTGGACGAATACGGAAGGAAATTTGCGGGTTGACGTTGGAGATGCCCTTATAATGCCTTTACCTCATTCTTCCTTAAACAATGCCTTAAACAATGAACACATCCGCTTGGCCGTATATTCCCTTGGTCATAGGGAGAAACAAACTTTCACCGGTGCACGCGACGTGCCTCGGATCAAATTGAACAACCCATTCGCAACCTTCAAGCATCGTATCAGCAAAGCACGCAAGGAAAAAGAAAGTGAAAGGAGAAAGGAGCCCTGCATTCCAGCGGCCGATGGGCGATGGTACAGCTACGGTCATGTCGCCGAGGCGGCCTGGACTGGCCTGTCTCTGCGAGCATGCGAATACGACCGTTGGGTCCAAAAGCCGAAGAAGCCAGCGTGCGTGCGTGCCATGGCGGGCACCGCGCGGCGCACCCAATCATCCCCTCCGCCTCCAGCCCAGAGCCGAACCACATGGCGGAGTCGCCAATTTTTGACCGTTGCTCCGCCACGCCGGAGACCTCCTCTCCTCCCCTTCTCCTCGTATGGCGCGCCCACCTGTCTGCGCCACTGTCCCATCGCCCGGTGTTCAGCTGCAGCTGACACGTGGGTCCGCCCCCACGGCCCACACGTCGGTGAGCAGGCAGCGCTTTACTGTGGCTTGTTCGTTTCTTTCCCGTTGTCCGAAGCAGGCGGGATGCTGCTACGCGCGGCTGGGGAAGCGGCGCAGAGATGGACGCTAGCAGCACAGTACTGCGGGACCAGGCATTCCTGGAGGCTCCACATCTCAGTCGAACATACGTAGGCAAGGGTCAGCGCCGGGTCGGTGGACGAGACGGAAACCCGCGAACATCGCCTCTCGGCTCCCCGGGATCGCATCGCAGCCGTCGGATGTCTGACATGCGCCATGTGATCCGTGCTGCCGAACCGTAGGCTGTCCCCGGAAAGATGCCTTGCTTGCTGACATGCGGGCCGCCCGAACGTGGTGGGCGCAACTGTCAGTGACGGGCGAGGCACCGGGAAGGAGTACTCGCCCGAAGCAACGGATCCATTGGTGGGCTCCCCCTCCCATTGGGCTGCGTCCTCACTTTTGCACAAAAGCCCCTCCTTTTCCGCGTCCTCATATTAATAGGCCCACTCGCCACACCTCCCCCGGCCTGTCCAGCTTCTCTTCTTCCTCTCGACCCCTTCTTCTCCCCTTCTCATCCCCTTTCACTTCTTCAGCTTCCTCTTCCTATCAAGTTGCCTTTCACTTCTTCGGTTTGCTCTTCTTCGCCAAGTTATCATCCATCGAGTTAGGCAGTTTAGATCTTGGAGAAAAGGAGTAGCTAGCTAGGTTCCTTTTCCTTCTCCCGAGCCGGGAGAGAGAAAACAGAGCGGAGAAGAGACACACAGGAACCGGAGGTTGACCGGGCTAAAGTAGGTTGGAGCTCCTGGCTGGGCCTTTTCTCTTGGCGACGACATGGCGAAGCTCCACTTCTTCCTCCTCTTGCTGCTGGCCGCCGCCGAAGCTATTCACGGCGAAGATGGTGAGTTTGTTTCTTCGCTTCTTTCTATTCCTGTATACTCATGTCGGGCATTTCTTGTACGTACATGGTTAGTTCTTTTCTTTCACCATGCATGCTTTTCCATCTCGGGCGATCTCCGTGCCGCTGCAGTTTTGCTTCTTACCAGCTAGGCTGGATTTCTACCATTCGTACAGCAGCCCTGGGAACCCAGCCTGAGTGTGATTGAGACTAGTCGAACTAGTGCCGTCCCTTTCTCTTGGATTTTTATCCTTTGTCGTCTTATGATCCGGTGTGTTTCTGGCTTGTCCTGCTGGGAATGTTCAGCCATCAGCTTTCTCTTACCATCAGATTAAGTATGTTTCTCTTAACATTTGAGTAATTGCTAGGAGTGGTATGGGATGCGTGTAAATCAAGCAGTATCTTTTGGGGTTTGTATTTGACTACTCGTCCTGCTCGTCCTACCCGGTCTCCCTGGGATTCCCTTCTCTCGGTTCTCTGGGCTTTTACAGGCCGTGTATTCCTTGCCCATTTCATGTGCATTGGACTAGTTTTTATACAAGTTATGCACGTTCCATAAGAACATCTGGTCCTGTTATCATTATATTCTGTCAATGTGGGCTTAGAATAAGATTTACTTGGAGCTAGGGCAAGGAATATCACCAGTAGCATCAAACGGTCTCACACCCAACGCTAATCTGCCTATACGTACTAAAATAATGCAGTTACCAGATAACCAAGAACCAACCCCGGCATTCCATGAATCTGTGATGGCTTTGTGCACATAAGTTTAAGCAGAAAGAGACGATTGCCGCTGAGCTCGTACGAAGGCCCATGTCTAGCGTCAGCCTTTGCGGGTCCTCCCTGTCCTCCTGTTCTGTTCTCCAGCCGGTAATTTCCCATAGGATGCATGTGCTGCAACACCGGGTTACTGGCAAGGTTTTCTTAAGCCGGGCGCCGTGTCGGTGGGCGTCCATCGTGGTCAAGCAGTAGCATCTCATGGTCAAACCACTGACCGTGGTGTTAATCATCAGGGTTAACCCGGTGGAAATGACTCGGTAATTATGTCACGGATCAGGATCACATGCCGATCGCGACAAGACACTGGTCACTACTCTGAGCGTGCACAGCACCGTCTCTCTCTGCCAGTTCTACCCGTTTGACTGTAAGGAAAAAGTGATGTGTCCGCGGGACCACATGGCAGTGTATCAGTACTGGCCAGCGGGCCCTGCGTGGTTAATGAAGTCACGTCCATGGCGTACGCGACACAGGGACATGCTTGCCTTGTCTACGCGAGTGAAGCAGAGCGGTGCAGTGCACCCACGGACTCGAGCCTGGGATTGCGCGGATGGCCGCACGAAAGACCAAAGCCACTGTGCCCAACGTCTTTCCCCATACCCAGTTTGTGCTTTACAGCTAGCCGTGTGCCCCCTCCCAAATGTCCCATGCCCATATCTCGCAATATGAAAACCGGAGGAGTGGCTTGTTTTCAGCTTTATAAAACATTCCTCTCTTCTCTTTTTGTACCTGTCAATTTATTACTGTTTTGTTCATGATACTTTAGCATCGGCATCACGCATGTCTGTACTACATGACTTAACAAAGATTCCTACTCTATGATGCACTTTGTTCTCTCACCTAAACTAAACTACACGGAGAATGTATTTGCATCTGATGATGGCCTAAAAGATGCATGCCACGTTTCTGCAGAACTTTGGTACACGTAGATGGCTCTGTTGTCTGAACTTTTTTCGTTGGCGTGCAGGGGCGTACATAGGCGTCAACATCGGCACGGCCATGTCATCGGTGCCGGCTGCCACGCAGATCACCACGCTGCTCCGCTCGCAGAACATCCGGCACATCCGCCTCTACGACGCCGACCCGGGGATGCTGTCGGCGCTCGCCAACACCGGCATCCGCGTCATCATCTCCGTCCCCAACGAGCAGCTCCTCGCCATCGGCAACTCCAACGCCACGGCGGCCAAGTGGGTGGCGCGCAACGTGGCGGCCCACTACCCGTCCGTGAACATCACGGCCATCGCGGTCGGCTCCGAGGTGCTCTCCACGCTCCCCAACGCCGCGCCGCTCATCATGCCTGCCATGCGCTACCTCCAGAACGCGCTCGTGGCCGCGGCGCTCGACAAGTACATCAAGATCTCCACGCCGCACTCGTCCTCCATCATCCTCGACTCCTTCCCGCCGTCGCAGGCCTTCTTCAACCGCTCGCTGGACCCGGTGCTCGTGCCGATGCTCAAGTTCCTGCAGTCCACCGGCGCCCCGCTCATGCTCAACGTCTACCCGTACTACGACTACATGCGCTCCAACGGCGTCATCCCGCTGGACTACGCGCTGTTCCGGCCGCTGCCGCCCAACAAGGAGGCCGTGGACGCTAACACGCTGCTGCACTACACCAACGTCTTCGACGCCGTCGTGGACGCCGCCTACTTCGCCATGGCGTACCTCAACGTCACCAACGTGCCGGTCATGGTGACGGAGACCGGGTGGCCGCACAAGGGCGACGCGTCCGCCGAGCCGGACGCCAACAACGACAACGCCGACACGTACAACAGCAACCTCATCCGGCACGTCATGAACGTCACCGGCACGCCAAAGCACCCCGGGGTGGCCGTGCCGACGTTCATCTACGAGCTGTACGACGAGGACACTCGCCCCGGCACCGCGTCCGAGAAGTACTGGGGCCTGTTCGACATGAACGGCATCCCGGCGTACGCGCTGCACCTGACTGGCTCCGGCGTGCTGCTGGCCAACGATACGACGAACCAGACCTACTGCGTGGCGCGGGAGGGCGCGGACGAGAAGATGTTGCAGGCCGCGCTCGACTGGGCGTGCGGCCCGGGGAAGGTGGACTGCTCCGTGCTGACGCAGGGGAAGCCGTGCTATGACCCGGACACCGTGGAGGATCACGCCACGTACGCGTTCAATGCCTACTACCATGGGATGGGGATGGGCTCCGGGACGTGCTACTTCTCCGGCGTCGCCGTGATCACCACGACCGATCCGAGTAAGCTCCACAGCCTTCTCTTCCTTGCCTGTTCTTTCGCATTCTTGGGACTCATGCCATGGGAACATCTCTTTGCTTGTGCAGGCCATGGATCTTGTGTCTATGGTGGGAAGAACGGCAGCGCGTTGCTGAACGGAACCTCGCTGGCGCCGTCGTCGAACTCCACCGCGGACTCCGGATCCCGGCGGGCAGTCGGCGATGTCACGTCGTTCGTCCGGATCGTCGTCACCGCGCTGCTCTTGAGCGTCGTCGCTCTGTTGTAGGATGTGAGTAGTAGGAAGTCAGGCAGGCAGCAGAGTAGGGAAGACGTGCTATTAGTGACGTGAGAGATTCTTTTTTGTTGTCAAGTGGAATTGGCCTCGGTGCTGCTGGGTGGCAAGTGTCATTCCAAATGGAACGGGATGTGGTTTATGTTGGCTCTTAAGATATGAGCTCGTACTCTGGTATTGGTTGGGAATTTGGGATTGTATTGGACGTTGGATCATTGGATGCCATCTGCTGGTGGAGGACGAACGTGTTTGCGCTCACCACAATCAAACAAACATTGTACTCCTCCACCCGTCATCAACCCACTGACCCGGCCATGGTCTCCGTGCCCTCCCTTCTCTTTTTTTCAAAAGATCCAGATCTATTATAAAAGTTCATCAAGGGTACAAAGCATCTTAAAACAAAAATAAATAAATTCATCAAGGTCTCTAGATCATCAAACCACGACTACCACCGGCGAATCAAGCCGCTTACACGCATCGCTGCCCACTTCCCTACCGGACCTAGCTTGACCTTGTCGATGATAGAAAAGTCTTCGTGCACATGGGAGCGAGAGGAGATCACACACTTCCACGGGGTCGTCTCCTTAGTGAAGGTGACGATAGTGCATACTTTCATGAGATGCAATAAGGTGGAATCTCCCCCGACCTTCTTAATAGTTGGTTTCTCGAGCTTGCCTAGGAAGGGCATTTCCTCGACCTCCATTTACGCGGGGGTTGCTTGTTGGCCCAGGCTACCGCTGGCGACGAAGGTAGCATTGAAAATTGGGCTTGCTTCCTTCTTTTATTGCGGCGGCTTGGGGAGCAATCATGGCGCCTTCCTGCGGCGCACAAGTGCTCAATGTGACTTCTTCACGCCGTGAGGGCTATTGGGGCCGCTTGTGTCCGCTCTTGGGGGCAAACGGTCTTCCTTGGTGCTTGGAGGGCATGTCTTCCAAAGGCGTGCTCTGTGTTGGATCTTCTTGTGCTTCCTGCAAGATTTATGCATGGAAGAAAACTCCTTTCCTTCAGGTGCTCCCCAGGGAGGCGGGTGAGTTTGAGACATTGTCGGCCTCGATGATGGTACGACAAGGCAGATCCAAACGTGTGTTGATCCTTCGAGTCACCGATGCAGCTGCGGCCGAGACTCGACATGGCGTCGAGGTGGCCAAAGCTTCACAACCCAATAAGCGACGATCCAGACCTCTCAGTGATCCTGTAAGGCTTGTGAAAGTAGCTTGAGGCGGGTCAAGTAAGAAGTAGAGCTTGTTGAGGTCGAAGCCGATGTCGAGGGTGGCGACCTATAAGTCGGTGATGGCATGCATCGTATGAGCGCCTTGTTGATAGGGGATCTTGGCTCATGTCACTTTATCCACCCTATCCATGGTGTCTATGTTTGTCCCATGCAAAGGTATTTTAGGGGACGCCTCGGCTCGCATGGGGTGAGGTGGTCATTCCTACATAGGTTCCTTGGGCACCCTGAGCTTTCTATAGTTGCTCGTCAAATGTCTTGATGATCTATGCAGGGAGCACCAAGTCGATCTTAGGCCTAGTGGGCGCCCGTTCTCTCAACGCTTGTCGTAGGGCGACACTCCTCTTAGGGCTTTGTGAAGAGTTGTGACATGTCTCTTCTTTGGATAGCACGCGTCTTGTACTTTGGTATCTCCCTTCTTGTCGATGAGTGTGGTTCGCGGTCTCCTTCAAGTTGGCGGAGGTGCGACGATGGTGCGACACTGCTACTTGTGATAGGCGTTGGGATTTTTCGAAGAGGAAGGGTGGTTCAGTATAGTAGAATAAAGTATTTCCCTCAGCTAAGAACTAAGGTTTGTCTAACCAACAAGAGATTCACACAAACAACTGTTGGCAGTACCTGCACACACACAAACAAATACTTGCACCCAACATAGACAGAAGGGTTGTCAATCGCCTTGTACTTGTTAATTGCAAGGATTAATTTTGTTAGTGGTAGATATATAAATTGAAAAATTAAATAAATTATAGAAAGTTTTAGGGTTTTAGCAATATGAGGTGAATGGACCCGGGGACCATAGCTTTCACTAGAGGCATCTCCCTGAAGAACATAGCAACGGTGGGTACACAAATTACTGTTGGGCAATTGATAGAAAAGTGCATAGTTATGATGTTATTCATGGCATGATTAGTACACAGGCATTACGTCCGGGACAAGTAGACCGACATCTACTACTATTTCTCCACTTCAAGAGCACTTCTATGCTTGCCTCTCTAGGTATTAAATTCATAACAAACATAGTGATGCTTTAAACATGATGACATAATGTAGACAAAATAAGACCAATCAATATGATCAAACCCCGTTGTTTTACCCTTGGTAGCAATAATACAAATATGTGCCTCGCTACTCCTCCTGTCACAGAGTGAGGACACCGTGAGATTGAACCTACCACAAAGCACCTCTCCCGCTGAAGATAAATCAATCTAGTTGGCCAAATTAAACAGATAGATTAGAGAGAAATACAAAACTATAATAATCACACACAATAAAGTTCAGAAATATCTCAATTACTTTCAATGAAGAATCTGATCATAAACCCACAATTCATCAGATCCCAACAAACGCATCGCAAAAGATTACATTGGATACATCTTCGAATAGAATATTGTATTGAAGATCGGAGAGAGAGAGAGAGAGAGAGATCTAGATACTACTATGTACTCGTAGGTCCCATGGGGAACTACTCACACATCAACATGGAGACAACAAGGTTGACGAAGATGGCCTCCATGATCGATTCCCCCTCCGGCGGAGGCCTCTAGATTGGATTGCGGGAGAACAGAGGCTTGCGGTGGTCGAAGAATTATTTCGGGTCTCGCTCTAGGGGATTTGGAATATTTGGAATTTATAGCATTGGAGTTAGGTCAGACGGAACCATGAGGGGCCCACAAGGGGGCACGACATGCCTAATACGTCTCCAACATATCTATAACTTATCAAGTATTCATGTGATGTTTACAACAATCTTGTATGGTTTTGGTGCACTTTTATACGATTTTTATGGACTAACTTATTAATCCAGTGCCTAGTGCCAATTCCTGTTTTTCTGCATGTTTTTTGTTCCACGGAAAATCCATGTCAAATGAAGTCCAAACGTGATTAAATTTACGAAGATTTTTTATGAAATATATGTGATTTTTGAGAAAGAAATCAACACAAGGCAGTGCCCCAAGAGCTCCATAAGGCAACATGGTACGACTTACTCCCCTGGCCGCGCCCTGATACGTCTCCGTCGTATCTATAATTTTTGATTGTTTCATGCTACTATTCTACAAATTTCATATACTTTTGGCAAAAAATTATATTATTTTTGGGACCAACATACTGAACCAGTGCCCACTACCAGTTCTTGTTTGTTGCATTTTTTGTTTCACAGAATATCCATATCAAACGAAGTCCGAATGCGATAAATTTTTTACGGAGACTTATTTTGTAATATATGTGATTTTTGGAAGAGAATCAACACAAGACGGTGCCCGAGGTGGCCACAAGCCACCAGGGCGTGGCCAGGGGGTGGGCGCGCCGTGGTGTCTTGTGACTCTCGTAAGGCAATTGCAGACCTTCTTTCACCGCAAGAAAGATAATTTTCGGATAAAAATCCTCTCAAAATTCAGCCTAATCAGAGTTATGCATCTCCGAGGTTTTCGGCCAGAAACCAAGAATGCGAAACAGAGGGAGAGATCCAATCTCGGTGGGGCTCCAGCCCCTCCACCTCCATGGAGGCCATGGACCAGAGGGGAAACTCTCCTCCCATCTAGGGGGAGACCAAGGAATAGCTACTATGCTGATGGTCTCCCACATGCTACAACTCCAGTTGGTTCCTTTTGGTGGAGAGATATTCTCAAGCTTTCTGATGCATATACTGCCATTGCCTCAGTGCACATCAATATGGGAGACTCTGCCCTTTTTTGGACTGATGCTTGGCTCATTGGTGGCTCTTCCAGACCTTTGTATTGGAGATTACCCAGGCTTTTTTCCTTTGTTAACAATGATAAGGTCTCTGTGCATGAATTCCTAATCTCTCAGGATATCTACTCAATGTTTTTCCTGCCATTGTGACATGAGGCTGCACTAGAGTTGCAGGTCCTGGAGGCTTGGATCCTGGATTTCAACAAAGACCTTACCTTACCAGATGTTTGGATCTGGCCTGGAAAATCTGGTTGTTACACTACCAAGAGTTTTTACACGCTCATGCACTCCCACTTGCCCACAGTTCTACCATGCAAATGGTTGTGGGATAACAGGTGCACCATTGAGAGATCAAAGTTTTTAGTTGGTTGTTATTCTTTGATAGACTCAACACCAAGGACTTGTTGATACGCAGACATTGGAGAGATCCTTTGGATGACAATCTTCGTGTCATTTGCAATGCATATGTTTATGAAGATAGGTTGCACTTGTTTTTCAATTGCAACTTCAGCCGCAGATTTTGGAATTATCTCTCCATTGACTGGACCAGGGGACCTGATATTCAACAATGTATTCAGCATGCAAGATCCAGGTTTAAGCATCCTTTCTTCTTTGAAGTTATGCTCACTGCAACCTGGAATATATGGATCCCCAGGAATGGAAGAACTTTCAGAGGAGAGAATGCAACCTTTGGTGCTTGGAAATGTCATTTTGTACATGACCTTTCTCTTCTAACTCATAGGCTAAGGGTAGATATCAGGGCCAAGCTTTCTGCTTGGATTAATTCTCTAACCTGATTTCAGGTAGGTAGATAGATAGTGTTACTCCTGTAATCTTCTCCATGTAATCTCCTCTGTTTGTACAGTTGTTATTTTCAATAAAGGGCTATGGGGCTTTGCCTCACAGTAAATATTTAAAAAAAAGAAGGAGGGGGGCTTGCTACTTGTGAGCTGCGTTAGGATTTCCCCGAAGAGGAGGGGATGATGTAGTATGGTAGAGATAAGTATTTCCCTCACTTATGAAACCAAGGTCACCAATCCAGTAGAAGAACCAAGCAACACTATGTACACAACAC